TTTTTTTTTTTTTTTTTTTTTTTTTTTTTTTTTTTTTTTTTTTTTTTTTTTTTTTTTTTTGAAGAATAAAGCTGGCAATATATGAATTATAGGATTTTATACTCGTTGAATAATTTCAAGTTAATTTCTAAACTAATTCTAATTGCTTTAACTAATTTAGATATATTTAATCAAATGTAGTAATTAAAAAAATTACCAGAGTGGAACCTATAAAATAACCCATTCAATTCTCAGGTATTAATTATCTTACTTATCCAAATACAAGCATTTAATTTTTCTTATAATGAACCGAACTGTCATTGAAAAAAAAAAAATACAAGGGCATCCAAAAAAATCCAAGACCCCATAAAAAAGACAACTAAAGAAATGGGCTTCACTCAAGTAAAATGAGACTTAAGAAATAATTACAAAAAAAAAAAAAAAAAACTTGTCACCAAAGACCAAAGAGACATATAGAACCTAATGAGGGACCAAACATCTCTAGGATCCCCCACAAGTTCCACAACACAACAAAAACTCCCACTTGCCACAAAAACCTCTCCTCTCTTGAAAAGACAGATTGAGAAGGATCTTCGGGATATCTTTCTATACCCCTTGTGTTGAGCAAACTAAAAGCCCAAGTTACAACTATAGAGAATATGATCAAGATCTTCCTCTACCATCTGACGAAGAATGCAACAAAACGGTTCTATCAAAGTAGACATCTTTTTTGCATGGATGATTTGCAAAACGATTCTTCAGAATTTTCTCATTCCACACAATTATAAAAAACAAACTCACTGACCAAAAAAGGGTTCAACAAACACAGAAAGAATGAGCTACAAGAAAAACTCAGTGAAGTTCAGACTCCAAAAACCAACGTCCTTCTCCCTAGCCTAAGCTCAAACTAATCAAAGATAAGAGAGCCATGACATCCACCATTCCTCTGTTGAATAGGGGTCTATCCCTCCTTATCCTTCCAAAAGTACATTTCCCTCCCATCACCTACAAAACACTCGACCAAATAAGAAAAGGATTGGAGTTCAATGGAAATGTCTTTCCAAGAATATCTAAAAGTACCTTAGACCCCACCCCACATCCATGAGGACTATATTTACTCACTTCTTTGACCCCTCCCAACATCCATGAGGACTATATTTAATCACTAGGTTTGCCTCAGAACCACCAGAACCATTCAACCAACAAAAAAATCATGTAACAAGAGAGTGATAATGAGTTTAAGCCTGTGGCGTTAGGTGTCCTTGAGATTGGGAGCCTGAAGTTATGTATTGAGGGTTGATTGCCCAAGTGGTTGTGGTAGTACTTCATAGAACCCAATGCTTTGTGGCACAAAGTTAGTACGAGTCAAATGGCCCCAGACACTTTTGAGCAGTATGATGTCAGTGGCACCAAGGGGCCTCATAAACTTCTCTAAAAAGTGATTGCCCTTGGCTTCCCTTCTTTTTCTTCTGGGTTAGAACCTGTTAGGGGAGGAACCCGTGTGTATTATTGGGAGGATTGGTGGGTTAGAAACCCTCTACGAGTTGTACCAGCGTTCATATCATTTTTTGGGGAAAAAGTTACATTTTGTGGCTTCTATTCTACTATCATTGGATCCCTCCTCCTCATTGTCTTTGGGTTTCAAATGTCATCTTTCTTATAGATAGACGTTAGACGTTGTAGGCCTCCTTTCTCTTATCCATGATCTAACATTTGGTGCAAAGGAGAAAGGACTTTAGGCTTTGGACCATGGATTCTTCGAGGAGCTTCTCTTGCAGTTCTTTCTTTTGTTTGTTTTCAAACCTTTCCTTGCCCCAACCTACTTAGTCTTCTCCTCACTACAGAAGGTAAATAGCAAGTTTTACATGGGAGAGTAAAAAATATGAACCGTATTCATAGACATTCTTCCTTTGAGTTGCTCCTACGATGGTGCACCCTTTGTAGGTGTCACTCAAAGGAATTGCATCACTTATTGTGAGGTTGTCAGATTGTTTAGACTCTGTGGCCTTGTTGGCTGACCTTGTTTGGTTTATGGAAGAACTTAAGTGATAGTCAAAGGGAAGAACTTTTCACAGCATATTAGCAAGCAGTTTTGCAGGTATCTTGTAAATAGTAGTAATGAGATTGATGGGCCTAAAATCCTTCACCTTAGTTTCCCTGCCTTTTTTAGGGATAAGCAAATAAAAGGTTTCTTTCCAGGTACTAACCAATATCTCCCTCTAACAAGGTCATCCTTGATATTATCCCAGTTATCTTGGAAGAAGACTATGGAAAAACCGTCAGGACCAGGAGACTTACTCCTATCACACACAAAGACCACACTTCTAATTTCATTCCAAGAAAATAGGGCCACCAACTCCACATTCTCAAAATTAGAAACAGAAATAGGGCACGAATCAAAAACCTTTCAATAAAGTTTTTGGGAGAAACAATCGGGTCTTAGAGTTTCGTGAAAAGGAAAGAATCTCCTCATCCAACTCTCCTTCCCCTTTAACCTCCTTTACTCTTTCATTCTGAAGGAACCCAATAAAATTCTTGCATTTTCTTCCATTAACCATCCTGTGAAATAAGGGACATGTTACAATCCCCTCTTTAGCCCATCTCACTTTCGACTTTTACCTCCAGCTGCAACTTTCCTTTCTAACCAAATCTGCAAATGCACCCTTAAGGGAGTGTATGCCCAAGTGCATTCTTTCATTTTGCTCAAAGAAAACTCGAGTATATAAAACTGTAAGGTCAACAAGCCCAACCACTTTTTCTGAGTAAAAGTTTTCTAATTTGCTATTGTATTTGATGACAAGACAATCACTTGGACTCTAACATGTTGCTTAGAAGCACATACAGATGGTGCATCCTAGCTTGCTTTAATTAAGCTGTTTGTCGAGGGCAATGTATTCAAATAAACAACTGTAGACAATACCTGTTGTTCACATTTTAAGGAAACCGAAAAAGGTACCTGAATATTTGTAATCGTGGAAGATACAAGCTTCCTTGGTTCTGCTGCTGAAACAACAAGCTTGTACCTGCAAACATTTATGAATACAGAGAAGATTAGCAACTGTATACTTAACCTCAAGCTCTCAAATTTTCTTTATGATGAACAAGATTGTAGATAGTATGAATGTAAAAAAAAAAAAAAAAAAAAAAAAAAAAAAAAAAAAAAAAAAAAAAAAAAAAAA